ATTTATTTATTTATTTAGTTAGTTAGTTAGTTAGTTAGTTAGTTAGTTAGTTAGTTAGTTAGTTAGTTAGTTAAATTACTTACATGCTGCCTTTCTAACCATAGCGGACCCAAGGAGGCTCACAACAAGCAAAATAATTTTAAAACATTCTTTAAATGTCATACTTAAAACACAACTAAACATACGTTAAAATTAATAATCAAGTATAAAACAATTTTTGTAAAAAACTATGTTAAAAACTAGCATTCCTGAGATAACTTACTGCTTAAAGGCCTGCCTAAAGAGGGATGGAAGCACAGGAGGGAGGGGGCCAGCCTGGTTTCTCAGGGCAACCCATTTCAAAGCCTGGGAGCAGGCACTGAGAAAGCCCCTCTCCTGTGTCGTCGCCAAGCAAGCTCAGAGATGTGGTGATGCTGAGAGAAGGGCCTTCCCAGGCGATCTTAATAGCTGGCGAGGATTATATGGGGTGAAAAAATAGGAAGTGAGATGAGATCCTTTCTCCTCTTTTGTAATGCAAAACCCCAGGTTTCAAAGAGGAGGCAAGATAGAACAGGCTATCATATCAACAGGAAACCGGAAATCAGTGGTGATGGGAAGAGGAAGGTGTGGAAAGGTTGTAGGATTCCCATTCCATCATACAGTCATACCAACATTCTGTAATTCAGGCACACAAATATTCACACACAACTTTCCAAACACAGTGGAATCTCCTAATTCCAAATATTAGTGCTGTCCAAGGACCAAACTATGCATTACAGAGAGCTCTGGAGGAAAGAATTCCATTACTGATTAAAGGGAAGATGTGGCTCTCACAATGTCGCATTCTCAGTGAGAGGTGAAGAAAATAATCCCTCTTTTCTCCTCGTAGCGACATTTTGCTGCACAATTGTGTTTTTTTTTCCTCAAGAAGTCTTATGGGATTTCTTGAATATTTCATGGTCTTTTTTTCTGGAAGAAAGACCTATCTACTGAGAATTATTATAATTTCTGCACAAAATAACATATGTCCTGCACAAGACTCCTCAGAAAGGACACTGAGCTATGCAGAACATGGCAGTTCCTGGAACACACATACACACATGCACAATGAAAAATAAATAAACAAATAAAAACTCCTCAGCATCAAGCAAACAGGAAGAACCAGACAAGGGCATGTTTTCATGGGAAGTCAAGAAATTTCAATTGTCCAAAGGAAGTGTCAGTGAGAAGTCTTGACAGGACAAGACTCGGAAAGGGTTAGAATGTAGCACACTGTAAATCAGCCACTCCTTCCCCAGTACTTGCCCGGATGGTATTCAAAAAACATAAAAGCCATTTTAAAGTGCAGGTGGGAGGGAGGTTCTTTTTGGAATTGGAGAGGGTGTTTTTTGGGGTAGGATGAACCAATTAGCACTGTCTACAACATCAACAGCTAGGACCCAATGGAGTGGATGAGGCACTAAGCACAACAAGCAATGAATGACAGAGCAAGAAGTGACTGACAATGCCAAGGACAGAACTGAATATTCATTTACAGTGGTGCCTCGCAAGATGATTTTAATTCATTCCGCAGAAATCGCTGTCTTGCAAAAACGTCGTCTTGTGAGAGGCGGTTCCCCATAGGAATGCATTGAAATCTATTTAATGTGTTCCAATGGGGGAAAATCACTGTCTTGCAAAAATCATCCATAGAAAACATCATCTTGCAAAACGCAGATCCCCATAGGAATGCATTGAAATCTACTATATTGGGGAAAAGCAATCCCCTCACCTGCACTGCCTTTGGAAATGCAGTGGGTCTCAGACAGCCTTCCCCCACTTTCTCTCTCCAGCAGCAAAGAAAGAGGGTGAAAGGAGTCAAACGAGCCCCCTGGTTCCTCGTCATGGTGACTCCTTTTGCCCTGATCCTTTGCCACTGGGAAAAAAAGAGGGAGAATGCAATACAAGACATCACCAGGACTTGCTGCCTTTGCAATAGGTCCTGACGAGGAAAAAAGAGATGAAAAGGATTCTAGAAAGACCAGGGAAAGCACCAAATGTGGGGAACTCAACTGCATAATTTGTGGTAATGGGGCATTTCATTTCTGCTTTCCCTAGTGTTTTTAGAATCTCTTTACCCTTTGGTCCTTGGCTGTTTTCACCATCCTCTACCATTTAAATATGCAGCCATGGCCCTGCTGGCTTTCCAGGAGGCAGATCTTGGAAAGCCAGCAGCATATACTTTCCCCTCCCCCACTTTTTTGGGATAAAAAGTGGGTCTTGTATAATTAATGCATTCCAATGGGGGGAAACTGTCTTGCGAAGCATCGGTCTAAAAAAAACACACACAAAAAAAAGTCTTGCGAAGCATAGCCCAAAACATCGTCTTGTGGAAATCGTTCATAGAAAACATTGTCTTGCGAAGTGCCACAGCGACTGCAAAAACCCATCATCTTGCGGATTAATCGTCCCGTGAGGCAATCGTCTTGCGAGGCACCACTGTACTTAGATAATTGTACATGTGTGCACATGGATCTTTTAATTCTGCCTCTCCCTCTTTCACACAAATAGGCATTCCTTTTTTCACACACAGACTCCTGAGTCATACACTCATTCAGACATTGCCTTATCCCCCATTTCTTTGCTCCGTAAATCAGCTGAGGTGCAAATACACTTCGTCCCCAAAATTAGAAATTTTTCTACCTGTTGCTGTTTTCTTCTGTGCCTAATCTCATAGCTGAACAACTGACCTATTCATTATCTCATTTTTAAAGCTTCTTTAAAGCCTGCCTCACTCCTCTGTCAAGAAAGAAGCCAGGAATGGGTGGGTCGAGGATCATCTAAGGTGCAGCAATGCCACATTTACCCACATGGACTAACCTCTTCTGGGGTACAAGTGACTCCTGTGGGGAACTTACACCATTGTCTCTATTTGCCCACAGCTCAGCTAGGTCAGCCAAGGAAACGTCCAGATAGCCTCACTTTATGTGTGTTCCCACATTTCGAAAGTTGAAGTTTTGTGGAGGGAGAAAGAAAGAAGGAAGGAAAGAAGGAAAGGAAAGAGGGAGGGAAGAAAGGAAAGGAAAGGGAAAGGAATTGTGCAGCTCTGCCGTATTTTATTCCCATCCACACATCCTTATTTTTCTACATTTTCTTCAGTGTTGAAGGCCCCAACCTCCTCTTTCTTCTATGAAATACTTTTTTCATCCTTATTCTACTATTATCTCTCTGTCAGTTTCTTGACCCACTAAAAAGCCCCAGCCTGGGTTAAGTGCAGTTTAGTGTGTGGCTGACTGTACATACTGCAGAACTGTCTGATGGCTTTCAAATGGTTTGTCTGCTCCATTGGTCTAATAGCAATTATGCTCTCTTCTCTCTCTTTTTTTTTAAACCTCCATTTAAACTTTAAAAAAAGGATAAGGACAACAAAATCCACACAAAAAACACCCAGGCCCATTCCCACACCTCTATAAATTCCTCTGCCCACTGGGTTCTACTGCTGAAAGGAAATGGAAAACACGGACAAATTGAGAAAATTCTTATCCTGTTAAGAAGACAGACAAAGCAGGCATGAGTGGGGGAAAGGAGTGTGTTTATGTTTATATTTGTTTTACTTTAGGAATGCGCTTGCTGCTTCCCATCTCACTCTTGTAATATACAGGGAAAGCATTTGGGAGAGGCATGACATCTTATATGATTATTTTCCCCATATCCACCAACATCCCATACCACAACCTGTCTCAAGGAATGGGCATTCTCCAAAATAGTAGTAGGGCAAATCTTAAAGGGGAAGGTTGGATTGTTCTACATACCACAACCTGTCTCAAGGGAATGGGCATTCTCCAAAATTGTAGTAGGGCAAATCTTAAAGGGGAAAGTTGGATTGTTCTAAGTAGAAACACAAGCGGCCAAGGTTTTTTTGTGTGTGTGCTAAACAGCGCCATCAGGATTCCATATACCATTAATTTATGTCAACATTTAAAAAATGTCATT